CTAAAATTAGGCTGGTTTCACAAATCTTACCAAATCATTCTGTTTTGGCTCAAGAAGCTAATAATTGGCTTTTATCATTGTCAAATCTTATCTACAAACCACAAGCTACTACTGTCAAAGGCAATTGGTGGCTTTGCGTGCATGTGGAGAATACTGTACACAGCTGACCTATTGACATTTGTAAGAAGGTCATATGTGATCATGTGGCTTTTCTGGTCCTCGGAGCCCTGGCTGGAATGCATACTGGGAAGGGGAGAAGAGAAAGAGAGAGGGACGAGTGAAGAGCAAAGAAAGAGACAGGGAAACTGCTATGTTCTTTGCTGGCAGGCAACTGCAGTGAACTTGCACTTGGCATTTTCTAGGCACCTGTGTAACCTTTCATTCACAGTAAAACAGAAGTCATGAGTGCATACGGACAGCAGTAATGTGATCATAATTGTAAGTACGTTGGTCTTGATCCAGGGGTCTTACTGTAACTGGGATTAAAATACTTTCATCAGTTTACTGTGCAAACACAACCATAAGTGCGCCATTTTTTGGTTTACACATTATTTATTTGTTTTGAAACGTGTACAAATGTGTGCAAAATTGGTTCGACCAATGGCGTGAGTTTAGGGTGGGACTATATGTTAATCAAACTAAAGGCCTGCGCACATCAAGACAAGTATTCAGTGAGAAAGTTTGTTGCGATAAACATTTGAATTTGAGTGAACTGTTGTTAATGGGTCTTTTCAGACTGACATTTGCATACTATTGATGTGTGAGTTTTTTTTACGAAGAGGGGTAACTGCATTTTCATTTAGCCCGTCTGCCATTTTTTACGCATTGATCTGAACAGACAAATCTATGGAAGTCCGTTTCCGCCACTGAATAAAAAAATAGAAAGGGTATTTTTGACTTTTTATCTCACAATTCTGACTGTTTTTCTTACAATTTTGGCTTTTTTTCTCATAATTCTGACTTTTTGAAGACTTTTTGCGTGTAGACTTGCAATTCTGAGGAATAAAGTCAATATCAAAACTTGCAATTGCGAGAAAAAAGTCAGAATTGACTTTTTTTTTCTCAGAATTGCGAGTTTATATCTCGCAATTCTGACTTTTGTGACTAAAGCAGTCTGTGTCTGGGGTTTGTCCCAATAACAAAGTTCACTGAGGGAATTGACCCACTGATAAGATGTACTGCAATGCACAACAAGCCTTAAACTTATGTCTCATAAATAAACTAACATAACATAATAACACAATATAACATAATCATGATAAATTTGACTGTTCTTCAATGTTTAATTTATGTTTAAATAAATCCAAGTTTTAATGACAGCCACCATGTATATATTAAAAAAAAGATGAATTGAAGTACACATTATTATGTAATTGTAACTTTATTATTTTAAAAACGTCATTAAGTGTAATTTTAGCAGTCAACCTTTAACCTTCAGTATTATAGTAATGTAGTACCAACTGACTCATGTATATTTTACAGCATTAGTTGAGAGATTTTTTTTTTCCTTGAGAAAATTTGGCATGTACTGTACCTGATATATATCCAAAATAATCGATATTGAATCTAATCGAATTGGTAATCGAATCGAATCGCAAGCTTGTGAATGAGAATCGAATCGAATCGTGAAATTTGTGTCAAAACCCAGCCCTTATATATATATATATATCAATAGGGCACGCATGTGCTGAAAACCTCTGAAGTAAACTAGCCCTGGAGCCTAACCAGCTCCGGAGCATGTTATGTTCAGAGAATAAGTTGCTATGGCATCTTACATACCTTGAAAGTTAACTCAGTTTTTGGAACCAAAAGTTGAGTTTATCCATTTATTTATCCATAAACCTACCTGAGTATATTACAAAAACTGTTTTCTGAAATACACCCCTTGATTTTTAAAATATTATTCACTTGTTGTGCTCAGATCGGCACTTCCCTGTATGACGAAGAGGGTGCCAATATTGTGAAAGACCTCATGGCTAAGGCCGAAAAGAATGGTGTGAAGATCACACTTCCTGTTGACTTCGTCACTGCAGACAAGTTTGATGAGAAAGCGGCGTCAGGGACTGCATCAGTAGCCGATGGTATTCCAGCAGGCTGGATGGTAAGGCAGACAAATGTTCGATTGTTTAGAGCTATATGATCTTCTCCTTTTCCTCTGAAGTGAACTAGAAATGGTTCTCTTTCTATCCAGGGTCTAGACTGTGGTCCTGAGAGCTCAAAGCTCTATGCAGAGGCTGTAGCCAGAGCCAAGCAGATTGTGTGGAATGGACCTGTTGGTGTGTTTGAGTGGGACAACTTCTCTCGTGGAACCAAGAACTTGATGGACAAAGTTGTGGATGCGACCAAAAACGGCTGCATCACCATTATTGGTAAGAATTTCATTTCATAGTTTAAGTTCTTGCCTGAAATGCACGTAATGGCGCATATCTAATAGAATGGAGGTTGATCCAGGTTATTATAGTTTTGAATTTATGAATTCGTTTTATTTTAATATCGTTTTCAAATTTGCTATAAAATTCAGTTTAGTTTTTATTAGTTTCATTAATATTTTTGTTAGTTTTAGTTTAGTTTTTATTTTGTGAACACATTTTTATTTTATAGTTTAGTTTCAGTTTTAATTAAAGTTTAGCAGAATTAACAGATCACTTCCAGAGCTCAGGCCAAAGAAAGACGTAGGCATAATTTAACCTTAGTGAGGCAAACCTATAGCGACACAAAATTAATGCATGCATGCTGAGATTGATCAGATAGTAAAAGTATACAAATATACGCCAAAGAAAGCAGTCGAGCCTTTTTTACTAAATTAATCTACACAAGTTGCGCTTAATGCCATATCCAGTGATGTGTGTTGAGATATTTAGTATGAAAATAGGCTAAATATAGCCTGATTTGGTTATTTCTTATTTAACCATAATCATGATATTGTAACTGTGGTGTCTTGCTCATTTTTCCGTGAACAGCCGTGCATAAATCATAATTGGGACTAATGCAATTCAATAATAACGGCAATCGTATTTAACAGTAAAGGCTTATATTTGAATGTTCTTTTCATTTATGAAGAATTATAAGCGTGTGTATTATGTGATTTAGCCAATGCACATTTGTTCAAAAGCCTGGCAGAGTGATCACAAGATGCTAGGCAAAAGTTTTGTGTTGTTTACAGAAAGGATGCGCGTTCTCATCTTTTTTTCTGTTAAATATCATGTCTTTTTCTTCAAAGCACTTTTCTGTTAATTAGGCCTATCATGTTGCGCTGCATGTCTGTTTTTCTTCAAAGCACCAACTTAGAATGCCTAATGTTGGTTTGATTGCTTGTGTTACATGATAAAATAAATAATCTTGCATGCCTGATGTAATAGATTTCATGCGAGTGCGGTTCGGGTCGCGACTGGCGGTCTTTGTCAAACGTTTTTGGTCTGGTACAGAATTAAATTAGTGCTGCTGTCAGATAATGGGTCGGGGGTTCTGTTAAGTACTGCTGGTGCACGTTTACCAAACAGGACACGTGCAGACTGCTTTGTGTCTCTCCGTCAGATAACCCCATGTGCGTGGCCATTACAGGTAGGCTATTTCCCTAAACCGCCACACAGCTCGTATATTTTTCCGCCAAGGGGTGAGAACGTAATGATTACGAAAACGATTATTTGTTTTTGATAATTATTATTTTATTTCAGTTAGTTTTTTTCTAACTGTTGTTAGTTTAGTTTCGTTTTAGTTTTTCAATTATTTTGACGTTTTTATTTTATTTCAGTTTACGAAATTGTTTTTTCATCAATCGTTTTAGTCTTAGTTTTAGTTTTCGTTTACGAAAATAACCTGATTGACCGATATATGGCCAGGGCCAATATTATCTGCTGATATTTGGCCATTTTTAATTATCGGCATCGCCTGATAAATGTCATGAACGGGACTTTTATTCAGCTTCTGAGTTGAGACGATGAGCTCCCATTCTATCTTCATTAGTTTGCTGTCTTTGTATAACAGTTCTGTATAATAATTGAAAGGCAAATGCTGTAATTCTTTATTCCTAAACTGTCAGCAAATACACATTTTAATCCAAGTCTTTAAATACCTAATGAAAATGTAATGCCACAAATCTTGGCGAATCTAGCTGTTAGATCTTGTGTGTATAGCCTGCATAAAATGCTTGTACCCTGTGCATGACAGTTCACACAAGGAATCCAAGCCATGGGAATTGGATGCGAACAGGAGAGTTCTGCCATCACTGGAGATGCACGAGCCAGCAACTTTAAATCCTTGATTTCAAACTATACAGTGCAATATCAGTTATTTACTATCATTAAATTAAATAGTGTGATGTGATATATAGGTCTATTGACTTCTTTTTTCAGTCATTGGCCACTCACAATGCTTGTACCCTGTGCATGACAGTTCACGCAAGGATCCAAGCCATGGGAATTGGATGCGAACAGGAGAGTTCTGCCATCACTGGAGATGCACGAGCCAGCAACTTTAAATCCTTGATTTCAAACTATACAGTGCAATATCAGTTATTTACTATCATTAAATTAAATAGTGTGATGTGATATATAGGTCTATTGACTTCTTTTTTCAGTCATTGGCCACTCAGCTCTCTAAGATATCGCAATCGGTCGTTTAAAAAAATCATTTCGGTCCATGTCAGTCAACCACTTTAATAAACTATACTAATTGACATCTTTATTTCTTTAAATTCAGGTGGGGGAGACACAGCAACCTGCTGTGCCAAGTGGGACACAGAAGACAAGGTCAGTCATGTGAGCACAGGAGGCGGAGCCAGTCTGGAGCTGCTGGAGGGTAAAGTGTTGCCTGGTGTTGATGCCCTCAGCAACGCATAATTGCTCTGAGCCTCTTCTGCCAAGGGTTGGGTGCTCATCTCCCAAGAAGCTGTCATTCTTACTCACTCAGCATTTGTTCAGTGTTCTATCACCTGTCAGGATGCAAATGACAACTACTCCACTCTCTATGGACTCTGACCTGTTGACTCATGCACATTCAGATCATCCATTTGCTTATCTTCTATCAAATAACCTAAAGCGTTTCTCATTCAAGATGTTTTCATCCATTATGAGTGAAAGGTTGACATCAGCAGTAATGGCTGTTCCTGTTATGGTTGTTATATTCGAGAAGATGGGTCATTTGTTTTATCTGCTTAAGTGTTAATGTGTCCCATTGTAGTCTGAATGTGTGCATAGTGTAATCGTTGTGTTGTAATTCTAAAGTTTATATTTGATATTTGTGGCCTCCCCACAGATGTTGAGTACCTGTAATACTGTAGACACTTTCCTCCCCATATTGCACTTGTCATCCTTGACCTGCAGCTTATGAGATAGATGTTCTGCACTGGAATTATTATGATGGGCTAATTGTTAGACCCAGGCGACCTGTCATGGAGTAAGAATGAAAATAATAATAAAAATCAGAAATTTTTTTCTTTGCTTTGAGTCATTTTTTTGTCGGCACCCAGTGTGGTATTGTGGTATTATGAGAGATGGTTGTGAGAGCATATTCACAAATTGCCACTAGCATATATCAATGCATAATTTAAACTATATTATCGCCCACTACATATAGTACATACAAAATAATGTAACGTAAACATTATTGCACATATTATCGCACAGCTCTCGATATAAAGTTATAGGCTGAATTCAGGTTTCAGGTAATGTGGGCCATTTGAGCTTGATTGTACTGTGATCAATGGGTTTACACTTGAGCATAACAATGGTCTTTAATGGGACACTTTTTTTTAAATGATGAAGTAGTTTTAGCTGATGCAATATGACCCTGGTGTTTGTGTCTACACCTCAAAGAAGGACTCATTATCATGAATGGTAGGAAGCCCTTAGACATTGAGATTTTTATTTCTAACTTGAAAGGTTGGTTACTAAATATAAACAAATATTATGACAACACTCATATTATTTGTTACTGCAGTTAACATGGATTAAAATGCAAATAATACATTATATATATATATATTTAAATAAATAAAATATTATTTATTTTCGTTTTTCTTGTAAGATGGGTAAATATTGCCAGCCCACTTTGGCTGAATAAAGTGGACTGGTGGGTTTCAGGTAAAGTGGGCCACCTTAAACCTTTGCTAATTCTAATCACATCAATTAAATAAACCAACATTCACTGATTATTTTATAAATAACGTATAATTGACTTATTAGAAAACCAAAATGAGTGTGCAAGATAAAGTTGTGCATAAAGCTGATTCTGGAGTGGAAAAAAAGGATGAGAGGAGCAAAAAGTAGATGCAGAGTACAAAGCTTTAAAAATGGTTTATTTAAGGTGTTTAGAGAAAAAAGACAGAAAAAAGTTTTACAATTCAGTCTTACAAATGAATTAAGTGTACAATTTTACTCATAGTCTAGGCTAGGCTATATGTTTTTGGGTTTGTTAAATATTTTGTTGAATGCGTTTGTTTGATAATATGTTTAAAAAACAAAAAAATAATTTCTGATATCTAACAACATTTTAAAAAAATTTCTGATTAAGGATTTTTTTTTTTTTTTGGTGGCCCACTTTACCTGACATTTGTCAAGTTTATAATCTCAAAATTTGTTTGTATATAACTTCCAAATAACACATAATATGAACTGAATTCTAATGTAAATATTACAGCTGGACGTTAAAGTTAACAAAGACAATAATTAAAAGAAAAGAAAAAAACATATGGGTATCTAAATAAGTTTAACAAAAAGTGGCTCACCCTATATAAATACATCCAACTTTCTATTAAGTGAGCCAAAAACAGCTGTAGGCTACTATAACAAACTTTGTTTATTTCCGACTCGAAATTAATCTGGAAATAATACTTAATGCTCTGTTGTACAGTACGGCTCGTCGTGAGATTTAAATTGTTGTTGGGGGTCGTGATTTTAGACTACATTTCCCATAATGCACGATATTGTCTTAGCTCCGCCCTCACCTGCCGAGGTGTGTATGCGTCATTCAGCACGACACAGCTGTGAGCGAAAAGTGCGGGGTTGTTTTCGGGATTAAGGTAAAATATGTTTTGTTCTCTTTAGCCGCAGTCATCTGTTTTATAGGACCGTGACACACGCGAACAACGAGTCAGTAAAGACTTGTGTGAGCGTCTCCTTCTTACAACACGCAGCAGTGGAAGATGGAGATACATTACTGTACATGTGCATTGATCTAATGAAATGGATTTCATACTCACTTCACTTCAACCCACAACTTTGGTAAAAAGCCTGAAGTCGAGAACTTTATGTTAGTGAATTGTTTGTTGTTTTATATTCATTGCTTGTGTGATGTTGATTTCCAAGGAAGGAACGATGCTGAAGGAGAGAGTGTAAATGCAAGCAAGCATGATTTCAGTCGAGGACTGGAGCCCAGACCAAGTGTCCACATGGATGAAGCATATTGGGTTTCCTCAATATGCGCAGAGTTTTGTGGGTGAGGTGATTCATTTTCATCGAACATCTGAAGAGTTACAACAGCACAAAAACTTTAACATTTAAAAGGCTGTAGATTTTTTTGTATTGTAGTTTGAGTAATCTTTTTTTCTTCTTTGTTAAACTTGGCGCCATCACAAGAGGGCGCTCAGTTGCAGTTTTCAACCCTTATGTTCTGTTGAGATTGACTCTGACCTTTATGTTTATAATTGTATTGTGATCAGTGTTGGCCAGTGACTAGTTACGAGTAACTAGTCACAGTAATAATATTACTTTTTACAGTAACTAGTAGTAGGGGAGAGCACTTTTTGACTTTCTCAAATTGTGTAAATCCACATGGGGTTCAGAGTATAATTTTTTTTATCCACAGTAATTTCACACTTGTCTAGTACAAATATGTCGCTTTGTTTCATACTTACAGTGTATACGTTTTTCTTTATTTACCCTCAAAAAATGGAAGTGAAATGTGACTTGGAGTTTGACAATGAACACATTGCAACCATGCTTGGGACGGCCCACATAAATGAGCCAAAATGCTTTTCATGTCTTGAAATAATAATTTCTTAACATTAAACATTGACTGTCAGTCTTTATTCACCTGTTTCTTGTCGTTTATCATTCAAATGTATTAAAGTAAATAGTGTGAATTGCATCGCTAATGTCATGGAATAGCACGGCAGGGCACATTGTAACGCAGTGTTACAACATACCCCATCTGCGCAACTGGAATTTAAAACCGGTTACTGTCTTCTGATAGTTAGTGAAGCATTCAAAAATAATTTAAACTGATAAATAACAGATTGGAGATTTTGGTTATGCTAGCATGTGTGGAAATATTTAAACCACGTGTGTTACAACTTACCCTGCGTTACTTTGTGCCCCGCGCTCCCCTATAACTAGTTACTAATAAGATTTCAGTAATAATATTACAGTTACCATCCATAAAACAGCTAGTTACTTAGTTACTTTTGATGCCTCAACCCCTACTGATTTGAAATCCAACAATCCAATAATTCCTAGATTTATTTTCATAATTTTCACCACTCGCTTAGGCACATGAATTCACCAGTGCATCAGGAAAGCTTGGAATATGGAAACGCTTGCATTCAGGGGATGGAAATATTGCCATACATACACTGATTTTGTCAGGGGAAAGCTAAGGTGATCTGAACACGGATGTAGAAGTTGTGGCTTCACTCTGTATATATTACTTTACTCTGGCATTACGTGGCTTGCCCACCCACATCCCTCTGATCCCGATATAAATGATATATTACTATAATTAAAAATCCTATGAACTTATGTGATTTCTTTTGATGAAATACTTCATGAAATTTAATCATACTGTAGCTATAGCTACAATTAGCTACAATATATAGCTACAATTAGCTTCAAGCTACACAAATCAATCACCATTGAGTGTTTGTAATATGCGATCCAATGTAGATTTTGGTCAAATAATGAGGCAGAAATATATTGTTAGTAACATTTTAGAAGAATTTTATGGGGAAAATACACAATTACAACTTCTGTGGGGTGTGCAGGAAAAGTAATGTTATTAGTAGTGTAACTTATTACTGTTGCCAGAAAGTAATAAATAAAGTAATAATATTACTTTTGAAAGGTGTAACAAGTAATAAATTACATTTTTGGAGTAATGAGCCCAACACTGATTGTGATACCATTATATTTCTATATACTGTATATTTGTTCTATACTATATACTCCTCAATATGATTATGTTTCCATGGTTACCTCTCATAAGATTAATAGAGTATATAAACATAGTTTTACATATTTATGTCTTCCCAGAAAATGGCGTTTCTGGATTAGACCTTTTGGAAGTCACTGGTTCAGTTTTAGGTAAGACTTTTTTGTCTTACATTTTTTTTATAAACTAAAAGACACTTTCAGGCATGATTTTAAGCCTTTTTTATTACCTGTCTTGACATTTATGTTTAATGTCGCTGGCTGCATATGTGTGAATTAGTTTGCATTGAATAATTGCTGCAATCGCAGGCAAAAAAAGAAAATAAATCTCAATGTTTTTTTTGTCATATTGTAGTTTCTCAGTATGGTAGGTGCTGGTAATATATTTATTGTACAGGTTTGGGCCTGTTAGTAACAATCCTTTGTTGTATTCAAAACCTCAAAATAAACACTTCCATTGGACATTTACCATTACTTCAAACAAATGTAGCTATTCATCTTAGAAAGTAAGAAAGGATAGAGGCATTATAGGGTGTGCTATGTTTATTTAGTAGAAAGGCATTTTTTAACACTGGCTGATGTCATGCTATTATCATTAAGCTTTTGCAAATGCAGCCATTGGATATTATTCTGCAGCTGTCCGGTTACTACAAAGAAATATTAACAATAATACACTAAGCAATTTTTTGTGTGTGTGTTAAATTCACTGTTGTGGTTGTCAAAACTAAGGGATGATATTTTGTCTTTATATTTTACAGCTCCTAACTGTATGCCATTAAATTATGTAAGATTAATATACCAACCTATTTGAGTTATTCAAATCAATTTGTTACTATAAAAATGTACTGATAACAAAGGTGGTACAATGGAACGCCACATGATGACTCTACATTCATCAAAATCGGACTGTCCAGCAGCTGTAATAATATAATTATTGGGTAAAATGTACATTGTCTTTTAAAATATATTTGGCAACATACAGGCTTTTTCCAAAATTTTAAATACATTAAAGTACATTTTTTGGTCACATATGCAGGATATATTAACATAGGCTATTAATATATAACTTTTAAAGTTGTCAACTCCTGGTCTACTTTTGCTGGTAAGCTTGTTTACTATAAATTCAGAGCTGGGTAGATTACTTGAAAATTGAATTCTGTTACTGATTCCCAAATACATGACAGAAATTGTTGTTAGTTACATAATCCATTACATTACACATTTTAGGTAATAATCAGACTACTTTTAGATTACTTGTTTACCACATTGATTTAAATAGGATAATCGTGTACCATATTGATATAAAAATACATAGGGAAAGAAAATATATTCATTGTTATTAACAATATGAAGTGCATTAACCATTACAAACATTACAGGTTTTCCAAATTGGGGTTCAGAGTTTAATGAAAAGCTAATAATTAATTACATCATAAAAATGTAAAATTAAAATAAATTATTTTAAAAATAACAACAATTAAAATAAAACACTTACTAAAAGATGAAATCATTTATTTGTTTACCTGCATGTCATGTGACCATTAACCAACGTCAGAGAACAGTGAACATGCAAATTTGATACTTAATTCAAATATTTATTTTTAAATCTTAGGGGTACATCAAGTAAATATAGTAAGTGAAAGAGGTTTGGCTGACAAAAAAAAAAAAGGTTTGGGAATCCCTGCATTAATTGTAAATAAGAAATTAATATGAATTTGTGCATTTTAATGTGTTTAAAGGGGTCATATGATGTTGCTAAAAATATGTAAAAAGTGTATTTGGTGTAATGAAATGTGTTTATGCGGTTTAAGGTTAAAAAACTACAAACGCTACTCTACACTGCTCGAAACTTGCGTTTGAATCATTAGTGGCAAATTCTTTAAATATAAAAAACGTACTTGCAGTCTGGAAAGGAAAAATTGAAATCGCATCATATGACCCCTTTAAAAGACAAAAGCTTTCCGAACACATAGTAATGCATGGCTAAATAGCCTACTGAGTGATAATTGAGTGTTCATCAGTAGTTGATGCAATGTTGAGAAAACACTTCTTAAAATTTAAATGATTTTTGTAAACCCAGTGATCAAATGCTGTGCCCTCTCAATTTTCTGTGTAATTATAGCCACCTGACTAGTGACTGGTCTTTGTGTGAATGTCTACAAAACTGGTTAGGTAGACTGGTAAGGCTATATAAGGCTATTTTAGAAAGGAAAACTTAAAAGATGGAAAAGAAGCATTAGGGAGAATAAATAAATGATGAATAATTTATTGCTATTGTGTGAAAAATATATGTAATCATCTAATCAATAAAAAAGTAACTGTAGTCTGATTATGAGTATTTTAAAATGTAATTTAATCTAATTTAAATAAATACTTAATTTTTGGAATCGGATTACCTAATCCAGATTACATGTAATCAGTTACTACCCAGCTCTGACTATAAGTATCCCAAGATAAAGTTAGTTATCATTAGTCATTTTATTTTATTTTAACGTTAATGCTTAAGAGATTTATTATAGACGAATATTTATTGTGGGGAAAAGCAAGAATTTTAAATCTCTTCAATCATTTTGCTCTGAAGTCACTGCTGTGGGCTGTGCTGCACGCAAGACTCTTTGACAGGTTCCTAATCTTAAAGACACACAAAAGCTTTTTGTCATTTTCTTGCTTGAGCAACTAAAGCCAACAGAGGAACAGGAACAATCGACAAACGCTCCGAAGGAGGGCTCTCCTGGCTTTAAAAAAAGTGATTTTGATTCCCTTATAGTTCTCTGCAAACGGGAACTGTTTTTTTCTCCTCAGAACTATTTAATTTTAAAGGGGTCATATGATGCAATTTCATTTTTTCCTTTCTCTTTGGAGTGTTACAAGCTCTTGGTGCATAAAGAAGATCTGTAAATTTGCAAAGACTAAAGTCTCAAATCCAAAGAGATATTCTTTATAAAAGTTAATGATACCTTTACTTTCGCTGCAGCGGCGACTTCAGTTCACAGTTTGCATGAAAGAAGAGGGAGGGCAGTCCTAGTCCTTCCTCTCACAGCACACTTCTAGTGGAAAACCAGCTCAAAAAAATGACACGGGGAAGAAGAGGGAACGCGTTTTATGTGAAGAAAAATTCAAAGATCATCGGAAAGTCTCCTCGGATTGACGAGTTTAAACATCTGTGAAGCGTGTTCGAAGCTTTGGAATCAACACAACTTGTAACGGACTTAAAACGTTGGACGCACAAAACTGGCGGCAGATCGAAATAAAGCGGGACTTGGCGAAAACTTATGAAGGTAAATCACTTTAGCAGATAATTCATTGTAAACGATTATTATTTAAATCAAATTACAAGGATTGTTATTTTAGTCAGTCTGTAAACGTTTCACCAAAACTTATTTAAGCGACTGTAAATATGAGGCTTATTCTTAAAAGTCTTAAAGTTTTCGTGCTTTGAGAACCTAAAGACGTTTCATTAGCTAGTTTTTGAAAATGCAGACTTTGCATGGTTTGCATCCTCCTGCAGTGAATGAGAATGCTGTTGAGAAAGTTGTATTGCTGTTACTTTGTAGATAGGACTATATGACATGCGCAGTGCTGACATATTTGCTAAGTCAACCTGCTCCATATGGCCCGAAGACATGCATGAACGCTACGTGTACTGTTAATATTATATGAATATACGCTTTTAAAAAGTATGTCTGTCCTGCAGAAGCAATATTTAGGGTAGGCCTATATGCTAACTGATTGATTGAAAAGACACATAGCAGCATCATATGTTAATTTTAAGTACTTTCGTACTTTCGCTGCAGCGGCGACTTCAGTTCACATTTTGCATGAAAGAAGAGGGAGGGCAGTCCTAGTCCTTCCCCTCACAGCACACTTCTAGTGGAAAACCAGCTCAAAAAAATGACACGGGGAAGAAGAGGGAACGCGTTTTATGTGAAGAAAAATTCAAAGATCATCGGAAAGTCTCCTCGGATTGACGAGTTTAAACATCTGTGAAGCGTGTTCGAAGCTTTGGAATCAACACAACTTGTAACGGACTTAAAACGTTGGACGCACAAAACTGGCGGCAGATCGAAATAAAGCGGGACTTGGCGAAAACTTATGAAGGTAAATCACTTTAGCAGATAATTCATTGTAAACGATTATTATTTAAATCAAATTACAAGGATTGTTATTTTAGTCAGTCTGTAAACGTTTCACCAAAACTTATTTAAGCGACTGTAAATATGAGGCTTATTCTTAAAAGTCTTAAAGTTTTCGTGCTTTGAGAACCTAAAGACGTTTCATTAGCTAGTTTTTGAAAATGCAGACTTTGCATGGTTTGCATCCTCCTGCAGTGAATGAGAATGCTGTTGAGAAAGTTGTATTGCTGTTACTTTGTAGATAGGACTATATGACATGCGCAGTGCTGACATATTTGCTAAGTCAACCTGCTCCATATGGCCCGAAGACATGCATGAACGCTACGTGTACTGTTAATATTATATGAATATACGCTTTTAAAAAGTATGTCTGTCCTGCAGAAGCAATATTTAGGGTAGGCCTATATGCTAACTGATTGATTGAAAAGACACATTTTTCCAACACAGATTCTTAAAGATGCATTATAGCTCTCAACCCTATTTACTTTTCCATTGTAATTTATGTTAAGGTAAAAAGTATATCTGTCCTGCAGAAGCAATATTTAGGGTAGGCCTATATGCTAACTGATTGTTGAAAAGGCAAATTTTTCCAACACAGATTCTTAAAGATGCATTATAGCTCTCAACCCTATTTACTTTTCCATTGTAATTTATGTTAAGTAATGAATTAGGCTGCATGGGGATCATTAGAGGTCCTGCTGACGGATGTCACCCCACTCTTCTGAGGAATGCTGCCCAGGGCTGAGGGGGAGCAGGACACAGATATGCACACTACATAGGGCAGGAATGCAGTCATGTGTTATCGGAAATCAAAGCAAGAGGCCAAGTTATGAGGAACGCTCAGGCTTTATTAGGTGAAACTAATTGCCCTTTACTACTTAACCATTGCTAACAGGAGTATAGGCCCTGCCTCATAATGCTTTAATTGAGTGCTTTGCATTTATGTGCTCCCTCTGAATGTAGGGAGGACTTGTTTACTCAGATTTCCAAAAGGGTTACTGGGGTAGCCATGGACGACAT